TTATTAGAACATGCGCGTGCAACGTTCTAAGAGGGTGATCTCACCCTCTTTGTGAAAGAGGCGAGTAAAATTCTTGAAGTTCCACGAGTTTTATTATGCCATTATGTGAAATAAATTATAAAAACATCCGGATGAATTGGTGAGTATAAGCGAATTTCTTAAAGCGTAAATTTAAATAGACAGTGTCTTACAAGAACGGGGGTGGAAAGCCCCAGGCCTTTGATACGAACGAAACGAGCATTCGCAGAGATAAACATTTTCAACCCTTTCATCCTTTTTGCATTCGTTCAAACGTCAAACACCTATAGAAAGTTGCCAACTTCCGTGTTCCAAGACGATCCTCTGTCCTCGAATCGTCTCACACACCGACGCGCCACCGTTTTCATTTCCAACCCCCGAACGCGTACGAAGGAACGTCGCTTAATTACCAGCAAATCGTCCGAGACTTCTTTTACAAAAATCCTCCACCCAATTAAGGATGGATTTCACCTACTTACATCAACTCGCCTCCGTCGCATCCGATCGATAAAAAAAACTCAAAGAGGGAAGAAAGAGAGAGAGAGAGAGAGAGAGAGAGAGAGAGAGAGAGAGAGAAGAAGGAAAAAGAAGAAAAAGAAATCGCCGTGCAAGAACCCGACCTACTCCACCTTATTTACGTCGTCTCTTCAGCCTGTAATATCGTCCATGTAATTTCTGCCGGTGCGTGTCGCGTCGAACGCGATGAAAGAAGTCGAAGCGAGGGCGCAAGAGAGAGAGAGAATGGGGAGAAAGAGAAGGAGCAAAAGACGAGGGAGAAGGATGTGAAGAGGTATCAAGGCCGATTCTCGAGCGACTACCCTGCCGCCAGCCTTTTCGCGAACAATGATCAACGATTAATTATAGCGGCACCGGATCGTGGATCGGTCGTGTAAAACGGCGCGCGTACTCGAGCAACCGCGAAGCGCCAATCAAGGAATTACGCGAGCGAAAGGGGGGGGGGGGCGCCCGGTTTGCCCGCCGCTTTGTTAATCGCGGTTGCCTTGCTCCTGCACCGTGATTGAAAATACTTTGCCAATGGGCTGAAGCAGCCTCTGTTTCTCCAACGAGAAACGCTGCGTCGACGTAGGTCAGGTTCTCCTCCGGATCTCCTACCAAGGAGATTGATTTGGTTTTGATGGCACGATGAAAGGGAGGATGGTTAAGGGATCCGTTTGTACGAGTGTACATATACGTATATAGTTGACGATGTAAGTATTCTGATACCCCGTAGATGTTTTTTTTACAAACGTGTTGAGCGTGTTGTAGAAAACATTTCCAAGTTTCGTTAATCTCAAGTTGAGTCGATTGTTGCAATCGTACGCTTTAAAAAGAAATTACGTCGAGGAGTTGAAACATATTAATTTTGTTATGTCGAGGCCAATTTTTATTAAGACAACGAAATACTGTTATACATAGTTATTACGACGTGGCGACTAAACAATTCTGTCAAGGAAAGATTTTAACAAGAAAGTGGCTTACATCGATTGGCATCTAAGCCAATCTCATGTGTTACCGTACTATTATATTTTATTAAAATCGCTGCGTTTGATGTATCAAATATTTCATACATCTCAATATTCCTGTAATTTACCTCGTATCCTATGCTTTTCACATGGGAGGCGAGGCAACGTCGATCTGACGTGATCGCGATTACGGATTTCCATGGAGCTTGATACCACTCGAACCACCGGTAGCCAACGAGACGTCTCTCTCCTTTGAGGGAAACGCGATCTCGAGAGTAATTAATCCTTTAGACGGGCAAAACGTTCGACGGGCATGTCGGTTTTTTGTGAAACACATCGCGTGGAGGAAAACCGTCGACCGGAAGTAGATGGTGCGCCGACTTGGCTACGCTGAGAGGGAACGCGAAGAGAGCACCGGCATCGAGGCTCGAAATTCCAACGTGGAAGCCACGCTAATGAAGCCGTGAGGTGGTGGACGACGATGCTCCGACGACCAATTTACATTCCGGTTAACTGATTTAAGGCAACCAACGAAAACCACTCGTTCAAGCCCGTAGATTGCTCGTCGTTCTATAATGAATTTAATGAGAAAACGTCTGTAGCCGTCTTTTGAAACGGCGCAGGAAACGCGACCTCCTGTCGCTTCGTTTCGATCCGACGACTGACAGCACGTATAATTAGTAATTAAATTATCTACCTATCGAACCACGGATCTGATAAACAAACGTTGACAGCGTGGTGATCTCGATTCTACGAAACGTGTTCTATCATTGAAGACTTTGACAGAGGTATTTTCATGGACGTAGAGTTTCATGGCAGTTTGATTTCCAAGTATTGAACGTCAGACACTTAGCAGAAAAGGTGAAAGTTTCAGGTCAACATTGTAATCAAATTGATTAACATGTGACAAAGAATTATAAAAGGGTTGATCAAAGGTTGTTAATAATAAATAAAAATATGACATACTTGACGAAAGTAAAGGAAGTTTTATATGGTATCTCTGACGGATGATCACAGAATTAAAAGTTAATGCAGATAAATTAATTCTAAAATATTTTTTCTTCTACGTCCAACAATTCGCCAATCGGAATAACACCTTTCTGAGTTACCATATTTTCACTTTTTCATGTGTTCTCCCACCACAGCGTCAAGCCATAACATCTACCGAGCTAAATGAAGACCTCCATTAACAATCTGCAATCTTCGATCGAGACCGAGAAACCATCTCTCACCTCGAACCCAACGCCAATCACCTACCAAAGCCAAACGCCGAAATACAACACCTCGCGCATTCTCTTCTCCCTTAACTTGCACCTTACACCCGTTTAAAAAGGCACGGACGAACAAAAGACGGTGGAATTCGGATTCGATGAAATCCCTATCAGGTGTTCGGTGATCCACCGCCACCGATGCCAGGAAAGCCACAAAAAAAAAAAAAAAAAAAAATCCATTGCATCGAAGCCGAGCGTAACAACGGGCAACGCTTGACCAGCCCGGTTTATAAGGCCAAAACGGGTCCTCTAAGCATTCCAAAGTCAGCAGGTACTAATGAAGTCGTGAGAGGTTGCCCAGATTGAACCCGACGCAGCGTGTGCGTCCAAGCGGTTGAACGTCCGCTCGAAGAGACCTCGGGGTCCCCCGCAGATGATTTAGATTCCACCTAAACGATCTGTCTAACCGTAGGAGAGGCCCGTCAGCCGGCCTCGAGTTCGTCGTTGTTCACTCGCTATAATGGATTTAATGAGAAGGTAGCCAACCTCTTGTTCAACTGTCGTTCAAAACTCCTTCGCGTGTCCCTTTAGTCGCGAGAGCCTTTATGGCTCCTCGAGAGACAGAAACAATAACGGTGGCCATTCGAGGGGATAACGACGGGTGAAAAAATTGTCAGTTTGTCGCGGCGAAAAGCGTATTACAGGTAAAGATGATAATCACCGTTCTCACGGGTAGTCGAGTTATTGTGTCGCTTGGTCCGAGAAATATGGCTACTGGTCACGATGACGGACCGATCGTGTAGTATGTGCATGCGTGTCTGCTCGTGTCTTCACAGAGCTTGTTATGTGGTTTTATACTTGGAGTTTGTTTTAAGGATGGCGGCTCTCTCGAACACCGGGAGCCGCGATTTCGACACCTGTCTCTGTGACGAGGGCAGAACGAGGTGCTATAATGACTGGTTACTGCGATTGCTTGGTAATTCTTTTTGGTGATTAGTGTGTCGTTTCGTTTGGATTTACAAGAATTGCAGATGGATGAGGTGTAACAATCAGACAGACTGGATCTTTTCAAAGATCAATTTGGTGTATTTTTACTTCGCGTTTTGTGTGAAAGTGTTTCGAAGAATCATCTGTGTGTCTGACATATTTCGAGGCTAATGACAATCTGTTACACTTTCAAATTTTATGACCAACCACTGGATACATATCAAGAAGCGTTATGTTACCAAAGATCCTCAGACATCTCCGTGCAATTCTGATCTTACCTAACAACTGAAAATATCCCAATGAATTACTTCGTATTTTCATTCCTCGGGCAACTCGCTTGACCAGTGTTCCAGTTAATGCGAGCGATTTTTTTCACGAAGAACTTTCCCAGAGAATTGGAGCTCTCTTTTATCGACCGCAAAATCACGTCGCCCCGGTGCAAGGTTGGCTCGTTCACAGTTGAGCGAGGTGTTTCCACGGTTTTCAGGGGTGTCGCATAGGTGCCAGACCGAATGAATGGCATCTACCACGGAATAGCGATCGCAGCTGTCGAACTTTGACAATGAACTGCCGTTCGAAAGCTTCTTCCAGCGTTTTCCGTCGCACCTCCACCGGCAGCGTGTCGGATTTCGATAGACGGGCTACTTGGTCCAACGGTGAAACGCGTCCTTTGTTTTCGGGGATTTTCGAGACCCGGACTCTTTTCAGGCGCGGGGTCCTTCGGATTTCGCGACCGAACGCCATTGTTCGGCGCCCTGTTGAATCGGAGAGACCAGACGCGTCTTCCGGATCCCTTGGATCCATTCAATCGATTCCCAGTTCTTTCTGCTACGCGAAAATTTCCACGCATCCTCTCAACGAACACGCCGTTAGAAAACTTCGTCGCAAGTTAATACGATGATCATTTTAATTAGCTTGATGCCGAAGTATCTTTTGCAAACTTTTTGAATTTCATTTTTAAATTTTACTTTTCAATTTTCGATCACGTGTCCTCCTGACGAAGTGGATCAGAGATTATCGTGATACTTTTGCTCACAGAAAGAAACATCTGGCTCCTTGTCAATCTTTCCAAGTCTCATTCTGGGACCATAGTTTTTAATTTTGGTTCTCTTAATGGACTTCCTTTGAATCTTTTGGCAATATTGAAGAATTAGACACTTAGATATTAAGAGTGAGAAACGAGACGTATTAAAACTGACGAAGAAAGGGAGAGAAAGGCCGGAAAGTGGCCTGATTCAGGGAACGAAATAAGAACGGAAGAGATCGGAGAGAAAGTGGATTTTAATGGATGAATTCAGCCGAAAACGAGATCGTGGTACAAACGGGCGATCACACGTAGTTCGAAGGATAATACTTAACGTTTATTTTTGCTTTTCTCACTGACAGTACAATATTTATAGATTACTTCTGCCGCTTTAAAGTCGTAATACTCGAATAATCGGTATAGTTTTAAGAGGTTTATCGTTAACGATACAAGTACAAAGATTACAGCGGGTTATGGACGTTTCACGAAAGTGTATCCCTCATTCTTTTCTTTTTCCTTCGTCGTTTTCTCTCGCGAAACGTCTATAAAAGCGCGCACACTCTCTCTCTCTCTCTCTCTCTCTCTCTCTCTCTCTCTCTCTCTCACTCTCATTTTTTCAGAGAAACCGAGAAATTACTGAATAGTTTCGTCGCGGAACTAAACAAACCGAGAAATAGCAAGAACCAAGAGGAAAACCAGAAAAGAAATGATAACATTACACAGATTCTCCAGTCATTATCAAACGTTATCAAACGTCGTATTCGTACTCGAGAGCTTTCGAGTTCGTTTACATCTGTGATGAATTAAGTAAAAAAGAAAATGGAATAGTAATTATTGGAATAGTAATAGAATTCTCGTGGACAATAAATAACTAGAAAAACAAAATGAAAGGATCGACGAAAATGAGGAATAAAATTTTCTATTTCCTAATCTTTTTAATACTTTTCGAAACGAGCGAAAGACGAAGAGACTTTTCCTGGCCTTTCTTCGATTGAAAAATGGCGAGAGGAACGAAACAAAAAAAAAAAGAAATTAGAAAGCGAGCAAAAAGGAAGCGACGATGTATCTTCTTTTAACGAGTCGAAGGGGTCTATGTACATCGATTACGAATCAAACGACCGCACGAAAAACACGTTCTCCTTTTAGAGGTTCCATCGCACGAAGCTTTCTGCTCATCCTGCTCTCTGTCTTTGTGTAAGTTCGTTCGAAACGAAACACCGTGGAATTAGTAATCGTCTAATGCTATCGATGTGTCTGTTAAAAAGGACGTGTCGATCTAGTAAAGTGGGTGTCGATGTTCGAAGCAGAATGTATGATAAAGGGCAAGTTCTCTACTATGTACGCGTATGTTGAAGTTTCGTTCAGATTAATCAAGTTGAATTGCAGATTATGGATTATAAATTCCTCTTTTGGAATGTTTTAATTTTAGAACTTCACGTGAAACGAGACACAATCAGACGAGATTTGAAAACTATGTAAAATTTTTACTTAGTTTATCGTCAAGCTTGTCGCTAGTTTCCGGCATTTAATTATTAACTTATTAACGTAAAATCTCAAATCAGTCATATTCAATTGGAAACAACACGCGACTGCTGTTTCTCTCAGATCGAAGAATAATTTCAGAAAATTTTAATTTCACTTTCAAATAAAAAAAAAAAAAAAACAAAATAAGGTTTACACTCGGCACGGTGTTTCAAGCTACTCGAATACAAGTGAACTGACCGATGATAGAATTAGAAATTCTATTTATCCAGTTAATTCAAAGAGTCCCGAATTAATTTTAAATAAAACGTATTTTAATAAAAAAACAAATCAAAACAAAAGCTCTTACGGTGTCTTTCGAGATAGTTGAAATTAAATTTAGAGACTAGAGGTTCACATTGAGACAAAGTGTTTCCAAGTTAGATTCAATTGACATCACGTGAATATAGAATCATTTTGACTAATCCGAACGATGCTTCAGGTGCTTCTCGTGGAATTTTAATTACTACGGTAATTATGGAAATTCCACTGGATTGAAAAGAAAAACACTTTGGGAACAGGGTGGCGAAAGGGGACTGGGGGTGAAGTAAGTTAGTGAAGGAAAACCGTTTTCGAGCGTCGTGCGCGATAATAATCCTTGCTACACTATTTACACGGAGACTATGTACAATTTCTTTATAATTCCATTTCGAGGATGGAAGAAACTCTATATCTGCGATAAATAATCGTCACGTGTCGAGCCCGACGCGACGCTTGGGGATGGCTAGAATACGGAGAGTATCGACTTCGTTGTTGCTTTCAACGAACTGCATCGTTGATAGCCCTGATTTCACTGCGATATTCTTGGTGATAATATATTCGTTGGTCCAAAAATCTTCGACATTCCTTCGTTAGACGAACTTTTAACTTGGCATAGCTTCAGAGATTATTCTTGCTTGATTTAGGAGGTAAATTTGAGATTCGTATTTAACACGTTGGTTATCGTACAATGATCAAGGTAAGATCAATTTTACCGATTAAAAAATTTCCAAAAAATTCAGGTAACAGGCAAATACGAAGCGATTAAGTGTTCGAAGCATTGTTGTGTACTACGTTTTAATTGAAATGTAAACTCACGTGATAGTCAAGCTGTTAATGTGTGATAATTTTGGAGTTGAATTGTTCTGTTGAAATATGAATCGTGAGAAAGAGGAATACAAAATGAGAAAAGCATTATAATGAACATTAAACAATCAAATATTTTTCTATGTGTAAAATACGTTTCTAAATAATTTTCTTTTCTTAATTTCTTTTATTGAACCCCTATATAGCTTTTTTATGCTGTATAACTAAAATTTCTTATGAGTTGTAATTCACTTAAAGTCCAAGAATAAATAAATGATTAAGTCTGATAGAATCACAAGTATAACATGTAAAATGAAACGAAAATCTTTTATATTATTAAATAAATTTAAATCTAATTTTTAGAAAACTAACCAGATAATTACCAACACATTCACATATAATACATAAATTCAACAAAACCTTTACTATTTTTTTCTTTTTCATATGTCAATCAATAAATCAAGAATCGATAAAATAACACAAACGCCATTGTACGAAAACTCGAACTTATTATTTTCCTCTTTCCAACTTAACAACAGGAACAATTCCACTCTTCAAGATATAATCACGTTGCCAATAATTCCATAATTCCTCTCTCTTTTAAAAACCCAAGGACTAACTCCTAAAAACCAAGAAGTCTCTCTGAAGCTACGATGAATATCCGCGACAAGACCCACGAATGTTTATGCAAATTCATCTCTCGACAACAAGAATTAAAGAAATCACACAAACCGATGTGAAACATTTCATTCGTCCGCTAAACGCTATCAAACAAATATCAATTTCAACCTGAATTTTCTATGTTTTACCTTGAGAGTATTTCCTAATATTTCTCCACGCACGTGCGCACATTCGTTTAGTGCGATGTCCCAGGCAATTTTCGCGTTCCATCGAGTGCATAAACATCCGCCGCCTATCCGCGTTACGTACGCCACGTCGTATAAATCTCCGGTGAATAAACGTTGATGGACCGAACTCAGGGCAACTGCTCGTCGAGAATGGCTCAGAGCTACGTTCTATCGGGTCAGAAGATGACAGTCAACGGTCGTCTGAACGATTCGTTTCCAGGCGTTGGTGCCGTTTGATAGCCACTGTACTGGCTCATTTGCGGTCCAAGTAAACCGCTGGTTTGCACCGGGCCTGGATAATAGGCTGGTAGACTCGCGCCAGGACTCGCTGCCGACGATGTGGACGTGGAACTCGCGCTAGACGAGCCGTGCTCGGTCCTCTCGTGCTGTTTGCTCATGTCCGGTGACTCTGCCGCTGGCGACCTCGTCGGACCACCGCCGACCACGCTGCCTGGACTGGACTCGTCGTAGAGCTTGTGCTCGTAACTGGGCCGATTGTAATCGGTGATAGCCGGCTTCTGGTCCATGTAGAGCTTCGATTGCTCGAAATAGGCCTTCGCGGAGTCTAAATAGCTCCGGTCCAAGTATGATTTCGGATTGGAGTCCAGGTACTTGGGGTCGGAGTACATGCTCATCGCCAGGGTGCTCGGTGGCATGTACGCTGCCCGGTATTTGTCCGCTTCCATCGAGTACTTCATGGCGTCCATCGAGCTCACCACCTGGAACCGAAAGAACGAAATTGGTCAGTAAGATTTTGGATGTCGAATGGTTTCAAGACGAATGTTCTCATGATTTTAAAGTATTATTAGAATTGTTCAACGCCAAGGGCATTATTATTTAACATTAAGGATTATTTAAATATTGTAAGCGTTTTGGTATTTGAGAAATTCATATTACAAGATCGTCGATCAACGGGGAAAAGAAATGGATTCAGACCGTGTTCGGACCTCAATCTCTGTATATACAAAGAAATATTACGATGTTACAAGAAAAAGTCACTGTAAAGTGTGAATATATATTGGAAAACATACGTGCAATTTAGAAATTGCATCATCTACAACAAATATTGAATATTAAAACTATATAGATTGTACACGTATAGCCATCAAGTGTGAAGTTTCTTAAAAAAAAAAAAAAAAAAGTACATGTAATACTAAAACATGTGAACATGTACTTAACTAAAAAAACATTCAATTACTCAATGCACGTTTTACGTGCACACACGTATTTCAGTACACGTACAAAACCGCAATCGTTAGCGCGAACGGGTCTGATTTCTGAGTCTACGGAACAGGACCTGATCCGACGTCGTCGTAGTGAACGAAGGACCACAGAATTCGCAAGGACAGTCCGCGAAGGATTTTTGAGCGGAGGAAAGAAGAGGAACCGAGTGGTAATCAATTGGACGTAGCCGGGGGAGGAGAGGCGAGCGAGGCGGGCTAAGACTGGATGTAAATCATCCGGACAAAGCCGCTTAACGATCCGACAAAGGTTCCGGCGCGGTCCTCGTCCACGAATTATAGAATCGGGAATAATCGCGCGCTCCTCCTGGCCCCCCCCCCCCCTACCTTTTCTTTTCCTTTTTTAAGAATCCCGTGGCAGTTTCACGCGCGGCGGACCATCCACCGTTCTCCGCGCGGCCCGAATTCTTTTTTAAACCTTGCAACGGTTATGAAATTTATAGCCATTGGTAGCTTTGTCCTCCGAATAGAACAAATCTCTCTCTCTGTAGTCTGTCCCGACGTGTCCTCGTCGTGGATCCGGCGATTTCGCGATTTGCGCTCCGGACCGAGTCGAATGCTTGCACCTTGAGGCCAGGCTTCTTTCTTCTTCGTGCCACCTTCTCGTGGAATGTTTATTTTTTTTTTTTCTTCTTCCTTCCTTCCTTCCAACGCGGGACTTTAATTCCTTTTGTTAAGTTGATTTATTGGAATTGATTAGACTGGATGGAGGTATCGTAGACGTTGGATCGAGTTTGGAATTCGAAGAGTGGAAATAGAACGACATTGGAAAATCGTAGGTGTAGTTTGATCGCAGAATTATCGAGACAAAATGTTTTTCTGTTGGAAATGCAAAAGGCCTTTTTTCAACTGTGCGGCATAAAAATTGCGGGATTAATTTTCGGGCCTAACCTCTCAGAGCCATAACTCTCAAGTTGTGCCAGGTATTCTTTCTACTCGAGGTTGTCTCGTGGAATTTACCAATTAATCAAACGTATTGTATATTGGAGCAATTATTCCATCCATACAAGCTAATTGACACGCTAACTACCACGATAGATTTAAATGATACTCTCACAAGTATCACAATGTTTAATTTTATTTACGCTTAAGATGTTTTAATATAATTTTTGTAATACAATATATAATATTTTACTTAAAATCTTGACTGAATAGCGCATTCTTTTATTTTACAACGTTGTCATGATGTTTGAAATTTATTATTCGACGATATTCATTTTATCTTACTCGTTGGAAACACTGATCTGAAGCATTGATGACCATCATGGCTCCATCTATCTCTGGTCACAGGTGACCAAGTAAACCCATAGATATAGTATAAGTTTAGTTTATCTAGAATTAAGGAAGAATGTAGCAATAAGTGCAATGTAGCAAATTTCTATCGTGAAGATTGCGCGTGCTCCAGGGCTGGAGCCTATAATCTAAGAACACTACTGATAAGCTTTTACTCGTTATGCTTTGTACATAGGAAAATACTGTATACACTGGCACAAAATAAACGATGTTAAAAAAAAAAAAAAAACAGGTGACCAAGAGAAAGACGAACAATTACTAATTTCTCAAAAACATTAACAATGAATTTGAAACCTGAAATTGCATAACTTATCGGAGCGTTGACCAGTTAAAATTCCACGGTCTTCATCGGTGCGTTCCAGTGGCTTTCGCTCCGGCAAGACTTAATTATCGTGCAACAGCACGTTATGTCGCCGTTCGAGCGTGCAACGAAACGTCGTACCGTTGTCCTTCTGTTTTCATTCACAAAAGCGGCTATTCTTCGCGTTGCCATGTGTCGTCAAGGATGGAAAGCGACGAAGGGAAGTGCGCGCCAACGACAGAGAACGAGAGGCAAATATGGGCAAGTATGGACGGAACAAAGACAGAGGAAGAGAGTGGAATGTCTTTTGCTAGCGGAGCACTTTATTTTCCAAATGGCTCTTCTCCGTTCCCGGGTCAGAGAGGTTGGCTAAAGCGAGAAAGTCAACCGGGAGCCATTGTTGCTGCCGGTTCGTCGATATTTCACCCACATCGCGCCCTCGCGTGGTTTTCCCCGACTTCGGAGCGACGTCGGCAGTGGACTTTCAATCGGAAGCTCGATTTTGTTCTTTGAATTTATGTACATTCTACGTCGAGCAGAATACCGGGGATAGTTAGAAGAAACTTGGTCTTTGCAATCTTGCTGAGAGCTAGATGTTCGGAAGTTTCGGGAAATATTGTCAGAGTATTGTCATGTCGCTCTTCTCAGGATCGAGGTCCCATTTTAAGCAAGTATCGCTAGTACAGTTGGCTAACGCGCGTCGAGAATTTTTTTGTTCCAAAATTGTAATATTCTACGAAATAGTAAATTTATTACTTCTCAATAATTTCTATCCAGCGATGTCATACCGACGAGTCCGAAAGGAAAAGAAAGCGACGAATTATTGTATACGGCTCGGTCACTCGTTACGGTCCGCAATCGGGTGGCAGCGCAACTAATTCAAATAATTTATTAAACGCACAAACGCTGCGTGCAACGTCGTTGCATCATAAAGATCGACCATTTATGTCACGACTCCAGAAATTCTTCATCGTCCACTCAAACACTCCTCTCTTTACCAACCCCTAATCTCATCCCTCTAATCATCTCTCGTGCAAGTTACTCCAACGTTTTCCATGAGCCACAAACTCGCGCAACTGTCCTCCAACCATCGTCACCCTCCTTTCTTTCGAGTCTCCCATTTCTCCATCCAACGTTTTCTTCTTCAACGAAGATGAAGAAGAAGAAAAAGAAGAAGCGACGAAGCCTGATTGGAAAAGAATGTTCATCGGACGTTGGTCGTGGCGGCGTGAAGATGTTCCTAAGTGGTAAAGCCAGCAATGATGGGCACACTGACGGCGATGATGGTGCGGTTTCGGTCCGCGAGGACGATAACACACGGCGCGGTGGCGGCGCGGCCGCTGCGTTGGAATTCTTCGCTCGTGCTCGCCGGTTCGCCAATAATAGTCGGCCTGTATCGCGCCGCTGCGTCGTTCCAGACGCGTCGGCCATTCAGCCGTTGAATGCAGAAATAACTAGCTATCTGTTTGTCTCCCGTACCCAGCTGCGGAAATTCATACACAGACCACGGTCTCCGGTTTCTGTTTGCGAAGCCACCCGGGGGCCCCTTTGTTGCGACAACGAATGAAACGTACCTACGCTCGTCCTCCGCCTCGTACATCCTCCTCTCTTCTTTCTCCTCTTCCCGGAGAGTCCTCTCCTCTCGCTCGGCGCGATGTTTCGCGTTGCTCCTGCTGCCTCTGCCTTCTCTCATCAACGATCTATCTCTCCCTTTTCGCGACGTTTCCTTCTGTTACGCGCGGATCGCTGCCCGACCATCTTCATCGATGGTTGTTCTGTTTTCTCTTTTTTTTCTTTCTTCTTTTTTTTTTTTTTTTTTCTTTCGTGACTCGATCGAGGACGATTTGTTGTGGATCCTCGGATGAATTTAGAGAGACTAATTGTACTGCATACGAGTATTCCCTATTAAGCTCAGACTGTGTTAATGAAACCCGTATTATAAAGGCTAGCATTTCACTGTTAACTTTCACCGTTAGTAAGATATCCTTCATGCGCGCAACAGTACACGCTTGGTTCGTGGAATAGCTCGTTATTAGCGTAAGACAACTTTCATAAAAAATGACTTGTGATGTACAAACAGATACTCCCTCTCCTTGCTATTATTCGATAAAATAACTTGATAATTGTGAATATAATTGTCTGAAATACGATGATTAAATTGTGCTGTAAAAACGGGAAGGTATTTGCACGGCGTGAATTATTTTGTTACCAAAAATCGTGTTCCAGATTTCGACTACCCTTTACAACAATATTTCTGAATTGTTCATCACGCTTGAAAGCGGTACAATACGGAGGAATGTTCCGAGATTGAACCGAGGCAGAATTTAAGATATATACGCTTCGGAACGATTAATAGAATTTCGCTTGTTTGCCGAGGAGAGGGACGCGTGAATGCAGCGATAAATCTCGAGATTCCCCGATCGAGTCTCTCGACGTCAAATTCCATTGAATAGGGACCCGCAAGAAATAACCGCGTGGGTGGCTCTTTTCCGCCGGCATCTCGATAACGCTCTCGGTCCCCGCGAGCCGTGTCTTACGCATTTTTCGTCCTTGACAAATGCGTAATCGCCGATGCTCCCCTTCTCGGCAGGATCGAACCTCTTTCCTCTAACCGAGAAATAATATATTACACCGGCGACTATTACCTTTCACTCGTTTTCGCTTTGACATTCTTCAATTTTCGTGAATAAAATATCCACGCTGGCAAGTTCTTCCCGGCTAGATGAATTATTTACGTGTGAAAAAAAAAAAAAAAAAAAAAAATGGCACGGCGTGGAAAAGGATTGAAAACTAGTTGAGACGATGAAAGTTGGGAGAAACGTCAAATAAAATGCATCGACTGCTCTCTTATTCTGCAGTACAATAAATGGAAACGTAGAGTCTAGCTTTTCTCTACTTTTCACAGTATAATGGCCAGAGTGATAAAATACCTAGACACACTCTTTTCTTTACGAAAGAAAGAGCAACGTGCATCGAATTCATTTACGATTTTACGTAACTTTACAAAGCCATTTCTTATCAGTCTCCATGACCGACATTTATAAAAAAAAAAAAAAAGGGATCTCATTCTATGATACGATCTCTAATTCGGTATTTTTATAAAACCGCATTGTATCATTGGAAATATAAATCTGCCAAAGACGTCGTTTCTTCTCCATCTCGGTCTTGTACCTTCAATTCTTAAACTTTCACGATGAGTCTCGCGAATGTGCGACATTTCATCGCGTTATCGATAAATAAACGATATATATATATATATATATATATATATATATATATATATATATAGACGACAAATGTATATCTTTATTTTTGATCCTAAAATTGTTCAGATTCTATCGTTTTATCTCATTTCTGCACTCTCTGTGGCAATTATTCGTCGAATTGCGCAACATCTGATGGCAATAAATTCTCTCAATGTTCGAAATGAACCCGGAAGTCGAATTGGTTTCCGTTTCGAGATCGCTCGCGGCGATTCGCGAACGACACAGATAAGCTTCGAACGAGAGAGATAAGAGAATCGACGGACGGGAACAACGCCGGGAACACGATGAAACGGGTTTTCAGGCAGGAAACGGGTAGTTTGTTTACGAGATGCATCGACTTACCTGAGCAGGTGCTCCCAGGCCCGCGGACATCGCCGCCGCAGACTGTTGTGCAGCCGCAGCCGCGGCTGCGGCCATGCTGGCCGCGGATAGCGAACCGTAAGCCGCTGCGGGCCCATAATACGAGCCCATTCCAGCTTGTCCCATACTGCCGGCCATTCCTGTAACACGCATAATTTATCCGCGTGCGAAAAATGTTGATAACTTAGCTGTTTGAAAGTCGAACGCTTTCCACGTGACGTAGGTGTCAAGTTGGAGTGCAGCGTTGGAGTTTCCATCGTTTTCGATGTATAAACGTAGGTGATTGTTAATTTATTGATAATTTAGCAAACCAGCGCATAGGCGATAATTAACTCCTAACTGGTTATTATTGGATCGTTGGTTTTTGGGAAATTTTTAATTACTAATCGCTGTCACGGAGGATAATTATTATTGTTACCTGAAACGGAACGATGCTATTTATGAAAAATTAATCCGAGATACATACAAGATGTGAGTGAAATTTAACCCTTGAATTTCTTTGAACTGAATTTTAGTTTCCAGTTAAAGATGCTTTAAATTTATACGTTCAATTTTACGAACAATTCATAATTGGAGGTGGATCTTCCAAAAATGAGCTTCGGCTCATGAAAATTTGAAATGTTCTGCATACACAAAATCAGAAGAATAAATCATACTGATAGTTTCCGTGTCAAACGAACAAATTTCGAAGACCAAAAGAGAACAACCCGTCGTGCAACTCACGCGAGACAAAATTTCTTTTTCCTTTTTTTTTTTACCAAAACACTCGTATTGACAATACGGCAATCGAATATCGCGATCAGCCTCGATCCTCATCTTTCGTCGATCGACAATGCCAATGATTAACCGAAACGGACCCACACATTTTTCGTCGAGATTGATATCGGGGAGGTCGTTCGCTTCGGGGCTTATCGATCATCGTCGTCGAACGACGGAAACCCGGCGAAAGAATAGCTATGCCAACGAACGCTCATTGTCGAAGCGTCGTGAACCTCCACCGGCGACGGAGAAACGTCACGAAAGAAGCTGAAAGAAGATGATTGGCGGCGAGATTTATGATCGGCAACGAGGAATTCACGGTCGTGCGATTATTAATCGTGATTTTGTAACCGATCGGGCTTCGTCGATGCCGGATGAAATTTTTCGGTATATCGGTAGTTGAAAAATATCAGTGACTGTATTAAATTTCGACTGTATTAACTATCGCGTCTTTACGAAAACCCGCCTTTGTTGTTTAAGAATTGTACAAATTTCAATTTTAGTGAGAATGTTTCACGCGTGATTGTTGCACGATTTTTGATTGATCAGTGGAGCAGAAGAACGATAAATGACAGTTTAAAAGATAAGATCTTAGAAAAGAGAAGCTTTTTATGAGATAATAAATTGTTGATTGATAATTCGTATTTGATATTTCCTCTGAGTAAGTAATTATGTAAAACGTGTACGTACACGAGGAATACATAATAATGTCAAATATTGAAAATACAAAAAGTATGGAAGAATGTGACGTTAATGATTTGAACAATGGTTATGAGTGAATTATCATACGATGATACACGTGATTTACTTTTTACATCTAGCTATCACAAAAATTTCACAGTCTTAAAAGAAACTGATGAAAACAATTTATTTATCCAATATATTAACTGTTCACCATTATAGCAGTTTGACACAGAGAGAAACGAATTGAATTGGAAAAATAAAGAACATTCAACAGTTATTTCAATTCAAAACGAACTACGTCCACGTAAAACACTCGATTTAATCGATCGTGAACTCAATTAATCGTTATTAACCTGGGCACGCTGGTGTCGATCGCTGGTTCCGATACAAACACTCAGAATCATCGTGATTTTATCGCGATTCTATAAAACCTCTCCGTCAGCTCCAGGTAATTCGTAACTTGTCTCACGTTTCTGCGAACGGGTCTCTCCCCCTCGGGGAACGATTCCCCCGTTTTCATTCACATTGCCGCGATATTGCAGCATAACCGAACAAAATTATTAATTCCAGCAATGGCAACGGTCCGATTAAGGCCGGAATTTATCCCATCGCCCACGCGACACTTCGAAACGCGACCGGTAATCCCCGATTTATCGGTCGTTACACCGTGTCTCTTTCTTCTTATCTTTTTACATCCTTCTTTATTCCTTTCCGTGAACCAACCACTCTTTCCTGAAGTTAAAGACACGAGAAAAGAAAATTCTAGCACTTGTGAAATTTTATCATTTATTTATTTAAATATTTCTTTTTAAATTATCTGCGATCGAAGTAATTTTTAACAGTTCGAGTGGCTTCTAACAAAATTGAAGAATTTTTTAATTTCTCTCTCAGAGATTCTCAGGCTAAAATGTTCTACTCGCAAGACAAAATTGTGAAGTAGATCGATCGTGGTACAAATCAGTTTAAACGCGCAGTTTCAATTGAAAATTGTTACGAAATGTTACAAGCTCTCCTTCCAAGGCTTCCTTGTTCCATTTTTCGACAAAACTTTTTAAAATTGCCCTAAACAATTCTTCAAAAATTCTGATCCCCTTCAAACAAATTTTGTAAGCAGCGATAGAAGTAATGGTCATAAAACAGATGATTCTACTTAGAAAACACGATCGTAAAGGATATTGGCAAAAGTTACTGATCCTGTTCCCTTTTTTCCATCACTTTCCTTCACTTAGTATACCTTTCTTCGTCTCTTCTTTCATACCTCCGTGCGTCGCTGCTGAACACCGCCCTTGCACGGTGGCACGCGTATAAGACAAGTGCGTGGGTGGTTGGGATAAATTATCGGCTTGGGCCTGGAATTTCTGGCCAAGGTTTCCGTTCGGAGATAGCGAGCAACGACTTAAGACCGTAAGTCAAGGGAGAACCTCTCTAGCCGGAAATTCGCGCCATAATTTCTTTTTCTTTTCATTTTTTTTTTTTTTTTTTTTTGATTTTTTTTTTTTTTTTTTTTAGCAGTCCGATGATATCGAAGAAAATGAAATTACCTACTATCTATATAGTCACGAAATATTTGAGATCTGACAACTGTATTTACTGTAAATGGACTGCTTTATCTGACCGTTTTATCCAGTAGAGATTAAAGTATTTTATCGTAGATATTGTGTACATTGCAAAAATAAAACTCATTAAACTAGATTTCTGGAAATACAGAAATTTCTAGATATATAGATTTCTGGAAAAATATTTCTCGACTACATTCAACTAATTTTACTATAAAAATTTTTATTTCCATTTTTCTTTTTTCATGATATAGGAATTAAAATTATGTTTCTTGTACCTTGTAGCATTTTAAATATAAAACAATTAAATTAAATCAAATTAAATACTTAAAACCTGTTATTTTTTAAATATGTTGTTAAATATGTTAGTTTTTTTGTTACTAATTTAATTTAAAAGATAATAAATTATTGCTAAGAATATTAATAGACCAAAGGATAAAAAGGATCACTCTACTTTATAAAGTGTTAAAATTCAGAAACACGATGGAGTGAAACACGTAAATTCATCGAATCTCTTGACGGATCGCTCCACTTGATCAGACTTCTTTTTTTTTTTTTTTTTTAAATCCTTCGACAAATTTATAATTCGTTTGCTTACAAAGTCACGTGCTTCCACCGTCTCGGAGCGTGCAACCATATACAGGGGTTAAGACAATTCGATAAATAAATGAGCCAACGACATGTTTATGCTCTCGCGTGCATAAAGCCAATGAATCGTTCGCGCGGACCACGACCCTTCCGCGCCGAAGGGAATTATTCGACGATTTATTCCGTGCCCTCCGTGCCAAAGATCCCCGAGATACCAGCGCCAACTTTTGACCCGTGTTTTCGAAAATAAACGCGGGAGACTTAACTTGTTTTGCGTGACTACTTAACTTGTTTCTCTCTGTTTCCTCTATTTTCCAAACTTTACGTATTGACTCTTTTGCGTAAAATCATAACGGCACTTTTTCTACGATCATGCTTGTTGAAAAGAGAAGAAACAGCGGTAATACGTGTCACTGTATATTTTAGTAATTAGAATAATTTAACCGACTGAAGATCATTTGTGTCAGACAGAGTCTATTCGGAGTTACGAAAAGAAATTCAAAGAAATTCAATATTTTATCATCTTTCTATATTCTACAATTTTATGGAATTCTAAGGTAATATTAAGTAAATTTTGTAATATTAAGGTAAATTATCGCTTGATCTTTAATAAATTTAATTATAGCCTCTCAAAGACCCATAGTCTCGTGTTACCCAAACCTAACCCAAATCTAACTCAAACCGACCTATGATATTCTTTTATGATGTCATAAAAATTAAACTGAACTTGAAAATTTTCCTTCTCTTCCTTTTAAATTAAATTTAAAACAGCTACACCTGGGCTGCTGGTGTTTCAAAAAACACCACTGCTGAAAACCGAAAGTTATACAACCATCTAGAAATACTCGAGAAAGCACAGAGAATTTACAAGGATGGATGTAGCAGTAATGAATAAAAATAAATTGAGGATTGAAACGGAGCCGCGATCGCGGAAATCGTCGGAAAATTCCGGAACGATTGTTTCAAATAAATTACGGGAATAAACTAAATTGTTAAATGGAGATTTCGTGCATCGAGTGATTTGTTCGCCGTCACAATTTCACGGCCGATTGTGCCCCGGGGGTTGAATCCTCGTTTTTTTTCCTTTGACCCGCCGCGTCGCGGAGAAATTCAAAATTACGTAACCTGCTATGAGGCGTGGAAACAATGGAGACAATGGAGACGGTCGGGACGTCAAACAAATCTGTGTAAACCTCCGAACCGAATCAGTGGGGAGGCCCTTCGTGTGTACGCGAACGCGATTCATCGACAACATCTGTTCCCCGGGCCGATTTCGCGGGGATGTTTCTCCACCGTAGACGGCGATAAGGCACGGGCCGATCGAAATCGACAGATGCCGATCTCGTAATTGAACGCAACCTTCGACCATTGTCGTGGCAGCGAAACGAATCGTAGCTATCAGTTGCGATCGCTGCGTTTCGAGTAGTTACGGAGTATGATACGAATGACGATTCGAAGACAGGTATGTAGCTCTAGGTCGCTGTTTAGTTTATTTTTGGTTCGTGAACTCAATCAATTTAGAAAATTCCAGCAAATGTTTAAAAACACATGTTGCAATGGAAAGAAGATCTGGCTGCGGAGCGGGCCTTGAATCTACCCGCTAACGACTTCTAACATACGAAAGTAAATTTGAAGTTGATTGGCTGTGTGTTTTAAACTACGACGCACGTTTAATTTATTGAGAAGCATTAGGGAACGAATAATGAAAACGATGAAACGATGTGCAAACGTTCGATGAATAATTTCTCTTTCTCGAGCATCGAATGCGAATTTTACAGTGTCAAATTAGAGGGAACCTCCGAGTCTTGTATCCAGAAATTAAAACAGAACTGTCTGTAAGAATTTTCAAAGGTAGTCCGATGAATTCGATTGAAAACAATATTTGAATCAGTTGGTGTAAATATTCCTATTTTTTCGTAAAAATAGAAAAAAAAGCCACACATAACATATATATTACTCTCAGCGAGTATCGTTATAATCAATTCTATTATCGCCAACCGACGTTCACCTTCAATTCATCTTCCACTCTACGCGACCTTTCGTCTCTCAGAGATACAATTACGCGCTTCATTGTACCTCGCCACCCTGGCCGAAGACAAACGGAATAATAAAAGTACAACAATGTGGTGGGGTGCTTCTTCAACGAAGAGAACTGACCAGACGCGGCAAAACTCATCAACTCGCCGCGAGTGTCAGTCTCGTTCTACTGTTTGCACAAGTGCATCGCCGGCAGGTAAGTAGGTATACGTTGATAATAAACGGCGATGGCCGGCGAAGGGAGCACTGGTCTTTGAACGTTAAAAACGGGCAACGCGTGAACCATTAGCGAGAGCGCTGGAGAAAATGGCGCGGAGGAAACGAGGGTCGGTCGAACCTCGAAGAAATCGCCATTATAAGACTTCCGACCACGGGAACCCGGAGGCATCGCCGGCAACAATGCGACTGAAACGCGAGCCGAAAAGATAAGAATATCAAAGCACTGAACAGACGGGACTGTTCCTCTTCTATTGTACGCCGCCGCAACACACCTTCGAATTGCGAGATTTTCACGGCGATCGATCCCGTTCTTGTCTCTCGCTATCGTAATTGCATTGTCTACCCGCTATCGGTCTCAAACTGTTTCCAGACGGATAATTGCGCGAAATTGTGCAAGTTCCTTTTTATTCCTTTGTTCTTCCTCTTTTTTTTTTTTTTTTTTCATTCGCTACTTGTTGGCGTTAAAGTTATTTTTCACGAAATGTGATAGAGAACACTCGAATTTTCGTGAAGCTTTCTTTCTCGACTGGTTGTACGGTTGACGTAGATCGAACGATAAAATGTTCAACCCTCGACAAACTTTCTTTGCATCGTCTTACCAACAATTTATTTACGAAGCACCAATTCAAATAGAATTATATAGTATTGGAAATAATCGTTCAAATGGTATTTTGTTGACTATATTTGATAACATGTGATAGTCTAGGCGTCTGTACAGATACTATACTATTATACATCGCATCATGCAACGCCAAATGCATTCATTATAATTGTCAGCAAATTATAAAAAGAGGAAGTCTGAACTAACTGTTGGTTAGATTTGCGTACGATGTTCCGTCAGAAGGGACAGAATTTGAGTTAATTCCTTTATGACTAGATATCTCAGAGAGATTAATTCTTTTTTCTTCTTATTGACTCGTTACGATATTAATTATTTACTTAGATACACCTAGTCAGAATATTTGAAGCTTCGTACTTTAAAGAATTAAGCACGAGAGATTTTTTTTATAATTGTATTTTCATTCTTTCCCCCAAAAAGTTTAGTGATTGAAATATACTATAGTTTTGCTGTGATTCGCTATTGACTTTGAACAAAAATTGTCTCGTTCATTCTTGACGAATTATGACCCTACACTTCTTTTACATTTCAATTTCTCGAGATACTTGCGTTACGATCTTTGTATTTTTCAAATTGGAAGCAGAAATGAATTGACTTACCAGCACGAAACGCGTCCATGGGCACGCTGGGATACGGAATACTGTAAGGATAGCCTTCCTTTCGCAACGTTTTCGGCTTCCTTCTAGGTCTGTATTTATAATCAGGATGTTCCTTCATGTGCTGTGCTCGTAACCTCTTTGCCTGATCGATGAAGGGCCGTTTCTCGTCCTCCGTTAAAAGTTTCCATTCAGCACCTGAAACAATGTAACGTTTCGATAGTTAGAAACGGCGAGCGAACAAGTTCCAATGTTCGAGTACTTTGAGCTTCGTTGAATGTCGATGGAAAAAATCAGCGGACAATTACAAAAGCGATTAAACAATCGAGTTCAAACGGAAATTTTCCTTTCGGAAAGTTTTACACTAGTGTAAATTTTTGCAACATTTTCCAAGTTTTTTTTTTTTGAAAACTCGTCAAAGTTCAAGCGTGAAAATATTTGAAGATTGATTTCCCACGAATCGTAGCGTTGATAGCGAATTAATAATTTTAAACATACGACGGTGTTAGATCAAAAGTATAATATGAAGTAAGATGAGTCACGAAGTAAATGGAGACTAACCTATAATTCAGAGAATATTTCATTTTGCAAACTGAATCTTGTCAAATTGATATTCGATGCGACAACATTTACATTTTCGCTAATGAACAATTTCGTTAAGCAAAAGAAAAAAAAAAAGAAAATCTGTAAGATAAATATGACGTTATTTATCATTCTTGACACACTTTCACCAACACACGCGTTAGCTTGCAAATAATGCACTTGTAACCAATTAAGCGTCAAGTAGTAAATATTCATAAGCAGTTAGCAAATTCTCCGTCATTCAATTTTCATCAAATGTCGTACGCTTCCCGTGTTTAACAATTGACGTTAAATACAGAAGTAAACCAGCTTTCCACCTAATTCTCGCGTGTTAACTCTGTCTGACCAGATTGTGGCACATTCTACTGACGACTATCCATCGTACGGAACGAAAAGTCGAGCGAAAAAATTTCGTTTCGAGAAACGAAGTACAAATTAAAGTATTAAATTCACGTTGAACAGCTGAAAGAAAGAGGAGCCGTGTCTTTTGGCTGATTCTCTCTCGACGAGCGCATGTTTACAGTTCGTATAAAGCAGTTTGTAAACGAGTGATGGGCATTTGGGCAACGCGTCCGATCAATGAGTACAAAAAAGATTCGGACGCCTGTGTTTACCCGATGAAATGGACGTGTTGTGTGCCGCCAACGGCAGAATCAGCCGTTATGGCTGAATTATCGACGAGCTCGTAATCGCGCCTCATTTCAATCGCGATTGTCCGCGTGGAAAATTGCGTTTTTTCAACGGACGAGAAAATTTTTTTTCACCCCTCCCTCTTTCCCGATTGATATATTCTTTCGATTACATTTCTCCGGACTCTCGTTAAAGGAGAAATTTGCGTTTCATTGCAATTGGACATGATTTTATTGGCAAATCGATTTCAAAATAGCGCGTTTGAAAAGAATGTTCTTGACACGGTGTTTTCAGTTAGGAAGAAACACGACGGATGAAGAAACAAACACGCTCTACATATGTAGATCTGATAGGTCCAGTCACGCAATAACAGCGACGACAGCTTCGAATGAAAGGTTCGAAACAATGGAACCTTTTCTCGATCGTAATAGTCTCTCGCGAAACTACAAGTAAACCCATTGGAGCACGAGCTTGCGTGTTTGAATTACTTATGTCGCTGCACGAGTGGTTTACGAATATCTTTTAAACTAGATCTCGACACGAAAATGTCGCTCTGTCATAATATTTCCAAACGGCGCTGGAAAACATTCGCGAAAAATCGGCTCTCTTTTACAAGATTGCTTATAAGTTATTCACAATCAAATTCAACAAATCATGCAGCTTGACGTGAATACCTACTTTCTAAAAGCAGCTCGTTTCAAATATTCCGCAACGTCATAAACAACTGCCTCAACTAACAAAATTCACTTTCATTTTCGAAAAAAAAAAAACTTCCGTTCGATTCTCTCTCGAGTCTCGATCGAAAATTCTCCGACTCGCTCGTCGTGAAGCGTGAAAACAAATGGCGTTGGCGGCGTTTGAAACGAGCGATTCTCGCGTTTGAACTGCTTCAGGAGCTGGGCGGGGAGAACGACACGGAATAACAGGCAGCCGTTTGCCCGAAACAACCGATGTTTTCGCGGCGAAATGCTCGCAACAGCCACCAGAGTCCCGTTGCTGTTGCTCTCTGTTTCGCCGCTCTGGTTGTTCCTTCGGCGGTAGCGAGCCGATTGTTTCGCCGAGAATTAATTACCACTTGTTGTCGGGGTGCTGGCTGCGGCTGTGTGTAGAGACAAAGCGCGAAGCCCTGGCGTTTCTGGCAAACGGAGGCTGGCCTCAAACGAGAAAACGACGCGCGGCGCCGCGCGCGCCAAGTCCGCACTCCGCGGTTTCATACCGCGAGACAAAGGGCGCCAACCTCGCGGCGACAATGGCCGCCGACGTCGAGACGTTCGCCGTCTTTCCACGTCGATCTTGCAAGCCGGACGAAGACAGAGCAGTGTTTCGTTTCGTGTGAAGTGGTTTTTCAGGGCTGGTCTCGTTCAAGGACTGATTTTGTTGATTTCAGACATATTGATAATACGTAATTAAACGGCGGATTTTTGTGCGTGAAATGAGAAATTTGAAGATAGAAAGTGGCTACGCGTGATGTGCAGAAGAAAAATATAAATAAATAAAATAATATAATAACAATATAAATATAATAATAATAATATAAATAATAGTAAGTAATAGCAGTTAATAATAGTAAGTTATAGTAGTTAATAATATAAATAAAAAAAAATAATATAATATAACAATAATATAAAGTATTAATAATAATATAATAATATAAAATATTAAAATATAAATAAATATATTAAAATATATATAATATAAAATAATAATATAATAATAATATAAAATATTCAAGGATAATAATCTGTATTATAATTAATAGAGAAAGCAATTTCTTTTATCAATTTCATAAAAATTTTATAATCATATTTTATAAGTACATAAAAATATGAATTCGCATGAAAATCCGCAGTTCGATAATCATACTTTTGGTAGAGATCGCACGAGTATCAATACAGTATGCAAACGTTGTTCCAAAAGGATTAACAAGATTGGATAATCGTTATTGAATTTGAAATAAACACGTAAGCCTTAAATCCTTGATTTTTTATTTCTTCTACTAGCTGTTTCACTACTGCACGGAGAATTTATAAGTTGGAATAAAAGTGTTCGAAACGGAGCGACAGATGAGATTAACGAATAAAGGGTTAGAGATGTGGAAGAAGAGTATTTGAACTGAGTGTTTGCCACTGTCGCGTGTAGGAAAATCTCTTAAAATATACAAGATGAAGAAGTTGAGTTACAAATTGAGCAGATGTTACAAGCGGAAACTTTAGTCAAACATTTGTAGAATTGAAATCAGAAACCCATACAATGAGATTATTGTAACTTTAATCAATTTCCAGTTCTAGCTCATTTCTGAAATTATTTATAAACCTTTCCTAGAGACTGAAATATTTCTCAACATACAAACTTCCATAGCTGCGTAATACACAAAAATTGTACGTCACATCTTATCGAAAAGCTTCGATAAACCAAGATCCTTCAAATCACAGACTCTTTTCTCAAAGAGTATCGAAACGTTATGTAATCGGCAGAAGACAACGACACGGGGGACGCAAATGTCAAAGAGGCGAAAGAAGACGGCGAAAAAACGGGGCCAAGGAAAGAGAGAGAGAGAGAAACTCGGGCGAGTTCCGACAGCAATATGAAGAACGAGCACGTTCCGGCCGGGCATACAACGGATCGCTCAAGAGGGATGAAAGTTCTCGATACAGAGAGGAGATACACTGGCGGAAATTCGAGGCGCACCGGAGTAGATACGGCAGCGAGAGAGGATGGGATTCACGTTGCCCGATGGATCTTTTACTCTCCTCGTTATTGTTGCTGACAGCAGGCAACGACAATGGAAAGAGTTGCTTGCTGTGTAGCGGAGCACACGATGGAAGAAAGATAGACAGAGGGAGAGAGAATGGAGAGAGCAGGCTAAACAATACAGACACGTGGTGGTGGTTCACAATGAACCTTCGAGGAACAGTTGCGAGAAAGAGAGAAACGGAACAGGGAATACGAGATTTTTGTCTTCCGGCACAATGTGCAGCGCTGATAACGCATTCGAGCCGAGCCCGACTGGTGTCGAGCCATTCTTAATCCTTGTTCCACAGCCCGTACCCTGAATGCGTTCAGGCAACGGGAAAGGAAATATAGTGTTTCGAAATAACAGTTCAATGGGAGTGCTGTTTGGCTCTCTGTTTCCAGCTTATTGGGATATTGCTCGTTGGATGGGGGTGCTACGTGATTTCCATTTCAACCCTTCCGGCGTTCTTTTTCGGCTTTGCGGCAATTTCTTTCTCTACAGATTGACGATCACACGAGATGATGAATCTATTTTTGTACATTTCCGAATTTCCATGCTATAATTGACAGATAAGGTTTTTTGAAGTATTTAAGGAAGTAGAAAAATCAAGCGAAATAGAAATATACTCATTGACGGTAAATTAAATTTGAAAATTGTTCCTCCGTCTAGAAACACGAAGAGAACAAGTGTGAGAGTCATTCCAAGTTTCAAAGGCCCTAGTGTGTCGAAAAAAAAAAGACAACTAGAATACTATGTTGGATGACCAACCCGGACGATATTGAATAGTATGCAAATACTGACAATAAGCTAGCAACAGTTCACATAAAAGTGGACTGTGAATAGTTAGTCACAAGGGCAAGATCCAATAGTTGGTCATCTATGCTCGTTCCCCTTCCACTTGACGATGATAACCCAATATATATAAGGACATGCTTTAGAGACATTCACCCTCTCTTATAACATTCTAAATCATTATAGAAACATTCAATATCGCTAACTCATAAATCATTCTAAATCATTCTATATCGTTAAGAGCATATTAGACATTCATCATATTCTAAGACATTCTAAATCATTGTATATCATCCTATTTCATACACGACCACGACTGTAAGGGAATAAACTCTTCTAAATTGTAAGCGTGTTGACTCCATTACACGGAATCCAACAACTATTCAATATATACTATTCAATATATATATATATATAATACTATAAGATATATAATACTACTCCAAAAATTAGTGTCCAC